CACACACACACACTGTCTCACACACACACACACACACACACACACACACACGCAGACAACACTCTCATTAACAGTTTATTCCAGTCAAGAGAACTCATTATGGAAATAATATACTTTAACACAATATACTCTACTTAATTGTGAACTGAATGTAATGTTTTTAGAAACTTAATTGCATGTTACTTGCAATTAAATGAAGATGTATTATTGTTTAAATTGATATGAAATATCATTAGTTGAACTTTAGAGCCAAGTACATCTTTACATGCAATTTCATTATTATTTCTATTGTCTTCGAAGTATGGATAAAGTATTGCTGAATGTACTGACATGCATTTATAGTAAAATAAAATTTACTTCAATGTTATTTGGTTTGATTTCTCAAAACCTCACAGGGTACTATGTTTGATGTAGTGACAGAATATACATATCTCGGTTTTATGCTTTATGACTCCTTATCTTTTAAATCCCATATTAATCAACTAAGGACAAAACTAAAGGTAAAGCGTGGGTTCTATTACTTAAATAAACCCTGCTTTTCATTTGAGGCAAGAAGAAGATTGGCTTCTGCCACATTTATGCCGGTCCTTGATTATGGAGACATTCTGTTTAAATCGGCGTCTACCAGACTTTTAGGTTCTCTGGACACTGTATCACGGTGCACTCAGGTTTATATTAAATTGCAATGTTAGTACCCATCATTGTGATTTGTATAATAGAGTTGGTTGGACGTCATTATCAACAAGCAGAATGAATCACTGGTACCTGTTTATTTATAAATCTTGGGTTTACTGCCTCCATATGTTTGTTCCCTCACCCAGCCTAAAGCTCTTGGAGCTTATTGTCTGCGCTCACAGGACTTGTACATTCTCTCGGTTCCATTTGCACAAACTGAACTTGGAAAACAAGCTTTTCAGTTTGCAGCGCCCAATGATTGGAACTTTTTACAACAAAACTTGAAGTTGCCGACCTTAGTGTCAATGAACACTTTTAAATTCTTGATTAATGAGCTGTTAAAGGAAGAATTCATTTGTAAATGTTTTTAATGGTTGTCAACACATTGTTTTGTGTTCTTCTTATGAAATATAGTGTTGCATCTTGGCCAGGTCACTTCTGTGGTCACTACTATAATCTCAGAAACCTGGTTAAATGAACCTGGTTTACCTGGTTAAATAAAGGACAAAAAAAAAAAACATTTCTATTTCTATTGAAACTCATGTATTTAAATATATTTGAAATTACACATTTATAAAGATTAAGAAGCAATTTAGTAAATTTAAAATATATTAACTTTAAATGGAAATCGTGTTTGGTCTCCTACTGTATCGCGTACCTTGTCAGTGTCGTGCGCTTTGCTTGGCCATTTGTTGTGATAAACAGGAAAGCGTGTCCAGCTGAATTCAATTTCAGTTTTGTTAGACGAATATAAAAAGCTTAGTTCACTGCAGCAGCAGTTGCGGCAGCCCTCGTGTGAAGACCGAAGAGTGTGAAGACCATTGACTCTACCGTTCGACTCCACCGAGCAGGGACACCGGCAAGACACATAAGTATCGCTTCTGAATCATTCTCTTTCCTACTACTTGTTCCCTTTCTGTTTTCAGTTTTTATAAGCAATTCTTACCATGTGTTTCCAGATCCCTACTATCACTACCACTCGCAAGCCATGCATCACACACTGTAGGCAGCGCAATCCTAACAACCTGCACACTTTGCCTATGTCTACTAATACACTACTTTCTTTTTCTATTGGTCTCTGGAATTGCCAGTCTGCTGTAAACAAAGCAGATTTTATTATTTCTATTACAAGTCATTCAAGACTAAACATCATGGCCCTGACAGAGACCTGGATCAAACCAGAGGACACTGCTACACCTGCAGCACTCTCCAATAATTTATCTTTTTCCCACTCCCCCTGTCTGACTGGAAGAGGTGGAGGTACTGGTCTGCTTATCTCTAATGATTGGAAATGTAATCCTTTACCATCTCTGAGTATCAACAGCTCCTTTGAATCACATTCAGCCACTATTACCCACCCTCTTAAAATCCATTTTATAGTTGTTTATCGACCCCCAGGACCACTAGGTAACTT